TGACTGCAGTGGTTTGTGTCTCCCGGTGCAGCCGGGCAGTTCCCAGAGCTGGACCTACCTGGCCAGTGCCTCGGCGCCGCACTCGGCCACATTGACCTTGCTCCAGAGGCCGGTGATGAGAGCCTTCTCCTCGGCTGTCCAGTTCACCATGGTGCTGGCAGAGGGGCTGTTGGGGTTTCTCTGAGCAATGAGGACGATGTGGCGCCGGGGGCTGCCCCAGGGATTTTTATAGACGGCTTGGCCTAATCTCAGCCCACGGACACACTGGCTGGGGCTGGGGAGGGAGCGGGGCTGCACAAGGGAAGATAGCGGGTTTGGATGCAGTCCAAGGGGGAAAGAGGCCCTTTCCCCCTCTGTCTCTGAGTGGACAAGTGTCCCCACACCCCCGTGTGCAGCCCCGAGCACAGTGGAGCTGCCGGCATGGCTCCAGCCCGGCTCTGGGATTCCAGGGTGGCACAATCCAGGGTGGCACAGTCCAGGGTGGCGTGTCCCTGCTGCGGAGTGTCACTCTGTCCTTTCTCCTTCAAAGAAAGCCCTTAGCTCATGGAGTCATGGAATCCCAGGCTGCTCTGGGTTGGGAGGGACCTTAAAGCTCATCCAGTTCCACCCTTGGCCATGGGCATGGGCACCTTCCACCCGACCACGTTGCTCCAACCTTGCCTTGGACACTTCCAGAGCAGCCACAGCTTCCRTGGGCACCCAGAGACATCTCCAGCAGCTGCATTGGTGCCATGGGGCACTGATGAATATGAGTCCCTGACAAGGACTTCCAGGGGCTTTTAAATTTGAAGATTAGTGAGCCATGGAGACATTTTAAGGAAATTTGCTGTGTTTGCAGCAGTGGGCACTGGTCCACAGCACCATCAGTGACTCAAGCTCCCAGTGAGGCAGACACAGCCCCCAAGTGCCCAAGAGGATGGCAGGATGAGCCTGGCCAGCTCTGAGCTGTCCTGGAACCTGTGAGACAACAGAGACCTGGCAAACAAGCCAGGCAGTCCCAGCCTTGGGCTCACCCTGATGCTTCTCCAGGGGGTCCCTCTGCCTCACTCATTTTTATAAGAAAGAGTTAATTTTCAGCATGTTTTAAAATCCCCTGCTTTCTGCCTGGGAGGTTTTGGGAGTACAGGGATTTTCTGCTGAGGGAGCTCTTTGGGGACACAGRCTGGGTGGGGAAATGTTCACCACAATGTTCTGAGCACGGGCAATTTCTGTAGCTGTTTTTGAGYATGCACAGTCAAAGGGAGGTCTCCTTTTCCCCAGTGCACCCTCAGAACACCTGACAGTTTATTCCCCAGACAGAAAACCAGGCCCTGCTGTCAGCCTGGGTGGGGTTTCATTATGCCCAGGACCCTTCCCTCGAGCATCCTTCCAGTTGGTTGTTCTGTTTGGTGTGGGTGGAAGATCTCCAAAGTCATGGAATCATAGGATCATGGAATGGTTTAGGTTGCAAGGTACCTTCCAGATCCCTTCATTCCACCCACCCTGCCATAGGCAGGGAACCGTCTACTAGACCAGGGTGCTCAAATCTTGGCCGTATAATTGTCCCCTTCCATGGACAAAAACCTTCCCTTTTAGGGACAAACTGTCCCAGCGAGGGCCAAAGGCAGCTCCAGTGAGAGCCTTTTTGCCCCAAGCAGAGTTTATTGGTCCCTGATTGCAGCAGCGTCCCCGCCAAGCTTTWCAGAGTCCTTATCAGCTGCTGTGGCATCTGTGCCCAGCTCTGCTCTGGAGCCAGGCCAGCCTCCACTCTCCTCTGGAACGTGCAGGGCCTTGTGCCTTGAGCCAGCAGCTCTTGAGGGTGTCTTTGCTCCTGTTTTAAAATCACAAAAGGTTTGGGTTGGAAGGGGCCTCAAAGTCCATCCAGTGCCCCCCCCTGCCATGGCAGGGACACCTCCCACTGTCCCAGGCTGCTCCCAGCCCCAGTGTCCAGCCTGGCCTTGGGCACTCAAAGGGATCCAGGGGCATCCTGCATCCAGGGCTCTCCTCTGCTCTCCTGACCTGTTTGTGGGTCGGATGAGTTGCTAGTGGTTGTAACTTTGCTCTAGCACAGCAGAGAGGGCCAACAGTCCCTGGGAAGGTGGGACAAGCTGGCTCTGCAACACCTGCAACACACCCTGGTCACTGTCCCTAATCCAGAACAACAGGGTCATCCAGGTGCTGGCCAGGGAGCAGGACAGGCTCCACATCACCACTGGAATGTGTCCGTCAGAGAGGATGCCCAGGATATGACACTGAGAKGAAAAGTCACGGCTGAAGTCACAGCTGCTTTGGGACCCAGCTCTGAGCATCCCAACAGCTCTGGGGTTGCTGCTGGGTACAGCCCCTGCCACTTCTTTGTTGTACTGGAAAATGCCAAGGCCTTAAACTGGAACGAGATGTTGACACTGCTCTCACCTCCTGCAATCCCACTGAAATGCCCATTTGCTGGGTGAAAGGAGAAGCTGTGCTGCAGGGAAGCTGGATCCAGCTTTTGGAGTTTTTTCCTCTTTTTCCCTAACCCCTCTTGGGGTTGGTGCTGCTGGCAGGGCTGGACCTTTGCCTGCCTGGATGTGCAGGATAGAGGGTTATATGTGCAATCCCTGCTTTATCAGGAGAAAGRCAGAATATTTATTCCTAAATCGTGYAAAACAAGGTTTTCATCATCCTGAGATACCAACATGTCTCTCTGTTGCTTTTTAGGCTATTCTTGGAAAAGCATTGCTGAAACTGAGATGCTTACACGGAATCCTTCAAACCCAGTGAAAAAACGTGCTTCCATTAAGTCAAAATGAGTGAAAAAAGGTTCTCATCTGTCCTGTCTGAAACCTGCCCTCATCCCTCATCCCTCATCCCTCATCCCTCATCCCTCATCCCTCATCCCTCATCCCTCATCCCTCATCCCTCATCCCTCATCCCCTGCTCCTGGAATCTTACATATTTCAGATATCAAACTCTGATCAAGGTGCACCAGTCTTCATCGCTGATGCAGAAAATGCTTTTGATTAACTTCTTACAAACGCATCAGTAGCAAACTATGGARGGATAAATTTCTGCCTGATCACTGAATCTCTACAAATTTATATCCTTGCAAACACACCAGGAGGAGAGGTTCAGGACCCACCGGCAGCCGCAGAGACACAGAACACAAAGAATTGCAGAAAATGTGTTTTTTATTGGCTGTTACAGACACAGTGCCTCTGGAGGCTTTAGTGATACTTGTGGGCCAGGGCATGTGCCACCACCCCGACCAGCTTCTGCCACGTGGCCTGGCAGGCAGGAGTGAAGTCCTTGGTGAAGTGCGCGGCCAGGACGATGACCAGGATGTCACCCARGAGCTGGAGAGGAGAAGGCAGGAGAGAAATCAGGTCAGCAGGGTGCTGAGCACCTTTGGCCCTGCACAGCACCCCAGCACCAGGGCACCCCAGCTCCCCAGTGGGTCCAGGGGCTGTGCCCTGGGGAAGGTCTGCTGGCTGAGCCCTCAGTGCACATCAGGAGCCCTGCGCTGGCTGTGGGCACCAGTGTTCACCTGCTTCCTCACATGTTTCCCAGCCTCTACAAATTTCTCTGCCTTTTCTTTTTGTGCTGTGAAATCCCCCACCTACTTCAGCTGAGGGTCAGTGCAAGGTCCACCTGCTRTGTCCCCAAAGGCAGGCTTAAACAGAGGCTGAAGCCAACATCCTTCTCCTTTCCTCCAGCCATGCCTGCACAAGCCCCCAGACTTTCTGAGAATCTCCCTCTGTTTGTCACCAAATTTGTCCTCACAGCCTGGTATTACCCTGCATTATTAAATTCTCAACCTTCCCCTCTCCCACACTTCCCACTCCAGTCAGCCATGTCCTGTTTGGTAACTAAAATGTAAATTATTATGCCTGTTTGAAATCCCCCAGGCACTGAGATGCTCTGAGGAAGGAGGGAGAGAGGGTCAAGATCCAAGGACAACTCACCCTGAAGTTCTCGGGGTCCACGTGCAGCTTGTCGCAGTGCAGCTC